GATTTTCCCGCGACCAGCCCTCCAAAAAATATAACTTAGAAAAAATAAAACATATATTTTGTCAGTTTTTTTGCCGCCAATTTTCCCGCGACCAGCCCTCCAAAAAATATAACTTGAAAAAAATAAAACATATATTTTTTCAGCTTTTTTGCCGATGATTTTCCCGCGACCATCCCTCCAAAAAATATAAGTTTTAAAAAAATAAAACTTATATTTTTTTTCAGTTTTTTTTGCCGCCGATTTTCCCGCGACCAGCCCTCCAAAAAATATAAGTTTAAAAAAAAATAAAACTTATATTTTTTCAGTTTTTTTGCCGCCAATTTTCCCGCGACCAGCCCTCCCAAAAATATAAGTTTTAAAAAAATAAAACATATATTTTTCTTCAGTTTTTTTTGCCGCCGATTTTCCCGCGACCAGCCCTCCAAAAAATATAAGTTTTAAAAAAATAAAACTTATATTTTTTCAGATTTTTTTGCCGCCGATTTTCTAGCAACCAGCCCTCCAAAAAATATAAGTTTTAAAAAAATAAAACTTATATGTTTTTCAGTTTTTTTTGCCGCCGATTTTCCCGTGACCAGCCCTCAAAAAAATATAAGTTTTAAAAAAATAAAACTTATATTTTTTTCCGTTTTTTTTGCCGCCGATTTTCCCGCGACCAGCCCTCCAAAATATATAACTTTTAAAAAAATAAAACTTATATTTTTTTCAGATTTTTTGCCGCCGATTTTCCCGCGACCAGCCCTCCCAAAAATATAAGTTTAAAAAAAATAAAACTTATATTTTTTTTTATTTTTTTTTGCCGCCGATTTTCCCGCGACCAGCCCTCCAAAAAATATAAGTTTTAAAAAAATAAAACTTATATTTTTTCAGTGTTTTTTGCCGCCGATTTTCCCGCGACCAGCCCTCAAAAAAATATAAGTTTTAAAAAAATAAAACTTATATTTTTTTCAGATTTTTTTGCCGCCGATTTTCCTGCGACCAGCCCTCCAAAAAATATAAGTTTTAAAAAAATAAAACTTATATTTTTTCAGTTTTTTTTGCCGCCGATTTTCCCGCGACCAGCCCTCCAAAAAATATAAGTTTTAAAAAAATAAAACTTATATTTTTTTTCAGTTTTTTTTGCCGCCGATTTTCCAGCGACCAGCCCTCCAAAAAATATAAGTTTTAAAAAAATAAAACTTATATTTTTTCAGTTTTTTTTGCCGCCGATTTTCCCGCGACCAGCCCTCAAAAAAATATATGTTTTTCAAAAAAAAACGCATTTTTTGCAGCTTTTTTGCCGCAGATTTTCCTGCGAGCAGCCTTCCAGGCAAACAATAGTCGGAAAGTTTTAAGTCCTCGGTCGAAAAAATATAATCCCGAAAAAAAATATAAGTTTTTTTTAAAAAAACTTATAATTTATAATATTTTTTGGAGAAAAACTCATTCACATGAATCAGTTTTTTTTAAGGGAAATCCTACTAAAAAGCTAGGTTCAGATGAATGCACATTTTGTGCTTTATGAAAATGTCCATTCATCTGAACCTAGGTTTTTGGTAGGGTTTCCCTTCGAAAAAACTGATTCATGTGAATGAGTTTCTCCAAAAAAAATATTATAAATTATAAGTTTTTTTTAAAAAAAACTTATATTTTTTTTCGGGATTATATTTTTTCGACCGAGGACTTAAAACTTTCCGACTATTGTTTGCCTGGAAGGCTGCTCGCAGGAAAATCTGCGGCAAAAAACCTGCAAAAAATGTGTTTTTTTTTGAAAAACTTATATTTTTTTGAGGGCTGGTCGCGGGAAAATCGGCGGCAAAAAAAACTGAAAAAATATAAGTTTTATTTTTTTACAACTTATATTTTTTGGAGGGCTGGTCGCGGGAAAATCGGCGGCAAAAAAATCTGAAAAAATATAAGTTTTATTTTTTTAAAACTTATATTTTTTGGAGGGCTGGTCGCGGGAAAATCGGCGGCAAAAATAACTGAAGAAAAATATAAGTTTTATTTTTTTAAAACTTATATTTTTGGAGGGCTGGTCGCGGGAAAATCGGCGGCAAAAAAAACTGAAAAAATATAAGTTTTTTTTTTTTACAACTTATATTTTTTGGAGGGCTGGTCGCGGGAAAATCGGCGGCAAAAAAATCTGAAAAAATATAAGTTTTATTTTTTTAAAACTTATATTTTTTGGAGGGCTGGTCGCGGGAAAATCGGCGGCAAAAATAACTGAAGAAAAATATAAGTTTTATTTTTTTAAAACTTATATTTATTGGAGGGCTGGTCGCGGGAAAATCGGCGGCAAAAAAGACTGAAAAAAAATATAAGTTTTATTTTTTTAAAACTTATATTTTTGGGAGGGCTGGTCGCTGGAAAATCGGCGGTAAAAAAATCTGAAAAAAATATAAGTTTTATTTTTTTAAAACTTATATTTTTGGGAGGGCTGGTCGCGGGAAAATCGGCGGCAAAAAAAACTGAAAAAAATATAAGTTTTATTTTTTTAAAACTTATATTTTTTGGAGGGCTGGTCGCGGGAAAATCGGCGGCAAAAAAATCTGAAAAAAATATAAGTTTTATTTTTTTTTAACTTATATTTTTGGGAGGGCTGGTCGCGGGAAAATTGGCGGCAAAAAAAACTGAAAAAATATAAGTTTTATGTTTTTTTAAACTTATATTTTTTGGAGGGCTGGTCGCGGGAAAATCGGCGGCAAAAAAAACTGAAAAAAATATAAGTTTTATTTTTTTAAAACTTATATTTTTTGGAGGGCTGGTCGCGGGAAAATCGGCGGCAAAAAAACTGCAAAAAATGCGTTTTTTTTTTTTTAAACTTATATTTTTTTGAGGGCTGGTCGCGGGAAAACCAGCGGCAAAAAAACTGAAAAAATGTATATATATATATTTTAACTTATATTTTTTGGAGGGCTGGTTGCTGGAAAATCGGCGGAAAAAAATGTGAAAAACATATAAGTTTTATTTTTTTAAAACTTATATTTTTTGGAGGGCTGGTCGCGGGAAAATCGGCGGCAAAAAAAACTGAAAAATATAAGTTTAATTTTGTTAAAACTTATATTTTTTGGAAGGCTGGTCGCGGGAAAATCAGCGGCAAAAAAACTGAAAAAATATAAGTTTTATTTTTTTTAAACTTATATTTTTTTGAGAGCTGGTGGCGGGAAAATCAGCGGAAAAAAAACTGAAACAAATATATATGTTGTATGTTTTTCAAACTTATATTTTTTGGAGGGCTGGCCGCGGGCAAATCGGTGACAAAAAAATGAACAAAATGTATGTTTGTTTGTTTTTTTCGGTTGGGAGGGGAGGGCTGGCTGCGGAAAAATCGAACAAATATGTTTATTTTTTTGGACGGCTGGTCGCGGGAAAATCTGCGGCAAAAAAATTGAACAAATATATATATATATAATATAATATAATGTATATATAAATATAATATAATATATAATATAATATAATATATATATAATATATATATAATATATATATAATATATATATAATATATATATATATAGTTTTTTTTTGGAGGGCTGGTCATGGGAAATTGGGCGACATAATACAGCTGGTTTGGTTTGTTTTGCGGAGATCTCACCAGAAAAAGGCACGCAAAAAAAACCTGCCAGCAATGTTGCTTTCATTTTTCAAACATTCATATGTTGCTTGGATTTGGGCCCAGAAAACAAGTGCTTAAAAAGCCGCTGAAAATCTGTCCTATGTTGTCTATTTGTTTTCTTTGAGCTGGCCCTGGAAACATCCAAAAAGAAAACGTTTTTGAAAGTTTTAAAATGTAGTGGATTTTGTCCGGAGTGTGCACCAAGAAACAGCTAACAAAACTGTTCAAATAATGTTATTTTGTTTTGCTTTGATTTCTAACGCACACACGCTCGACAACAACATTATGAGTTCCTGAGCCCAACCAGAAAAATGCATGCAATTTTCGCGTAACGGCACATAGGTAAGTATACACAAACCTATATAGATTGTGCGTTATATTTTTTTTGAACCTCCCCGCAAAAACAAAAAGAAACGAACATATGTATGTATGCATGCATGTATGTATGTAATGTAATGCAATGCAACGCAATGCAATGCAATGTAATGTAATGTAATATATGTAAGTACCTATAGTATGTAGAATTCTTATTTCAAAGAACTGGTGTTGATAAATCTCGCCGCCAAAGAGAAACGAGCCAAATATGTATCAGTTGTGTTTTTAATTTTTGGTTACCTTCTTGTGACCGGCCACGTGGAAGAGTTGTGCCAGCAGCACACAAGCAAGGGCTGATATGCAAAAACCTGTTGGCCTTTGTTTTGTCCATCAGGGCTCTACATTTTGACATGTTGTTCAAAACCGTGCACGGCATGATAATTCCAAAGTGCAGCGATTTGATTCCAATGGTTCATACGAGTTTTCCAATGCTTTAAGTAGTTCCCCAGGTTGCTCAAAAATTAAAATATATTTTTTACTATTTCCCCACGAGGGTTGTGCAAATCCACATACCTACCCCTCTGAAAATTATGAAAGTCAGTTGGGATGATTATTCCCAATGAATGGAAAAATAAAAAATGTTCCAAACCACCAACCAGTTGTACTAATTTGACAGTCCGGTGTTTCTTGCCGGTACCCCCTTCAATGGCCATCCAGGTCTTTGTTGAGGAAATGTCGACATTCCTTCACTTTTTCTGGCCTTATCAAACACAGCAGAAAAGATCTTGCTCATATCCTCATATTCTTTGGTAAAAATAAGTTTCAACTCTAGCTGGTGGAATCCAGTTTGCCTTGGTACAAACTCCAGTTCTGGTAATGAATTCACCATTTTGTTGCTTGATATCAAGTTGATATCTCCAGGTTTCACTGCTCAATTCTTTATGTAATGGTGTCTTATTAAAATCATCCATTTCTCTTCGGAGGGTTTTTTCTGAACATTGGGTGCCCAAGAATTTCATGGGTTAAAACATCCCTGTCCCTTATTAAAATGGCTATAAATCAAACAACACGCCAGATACGTCTGCCTGAGAAGACATCTCCTGTCGTTGTTCATCCGCCGCTGCGCTGGCTGCAGCATTTTGGGCCTTCATCAGGGGGGGGATTTGGCCCCGGACTCGACTTGCTGGAAAATCTATGGAAAAACTAGGAAACTACATTTAAAAACTGTGAGTACCCTCTGGTAAACCAACATGGCTGTGGAAAATCACCATGTTTAATATGTAATTCAACTATAAATGGTAATTTTCAATAGCTATTTTGACATAGCCGGAGGGTAATGGGTGATTCAAAATCCGATCTTTGTTGGTTTTTGATTCCCCCTGTCGTGCAGGTTGAAGCCCCGGCAGGGCTGGTTCATTCCGCAGTTCGCCAGTTAACCCTCAGATGTTCACAGATTCTGAGCCCCAGATGTGGCTGTCTGAAAATAGGGCATATTATATACATATACATATATATACATTACATATATATATACATTACATATATATATATATCATTATATATATATATCATTATATATATATATCATTATATATCAAATGGAAAAAATGGCAAGTGTCATAGGGAAATGATGATAAACCACGAAATTCGGAGGGTTCTCAGCCTTTTTGTTGAGACAACTCCATATCGTCTTGCTGCGTATATTACACCATTTATCCCCGTAGAACATCCATGATATCCCGATCTCCATGATATCTTCAGGAATAGATCATGCCAAAAACATCTGCTATATCCACTATTTAAAAAAGGAATAGATCATGTCAAAAACATGCTAGATCCACTGAAAAAACATCCTGATCTTTATTCATCATGTTGCTACACATGCCGTATGCCATTGAGATCCTGCCTGAAGCTGGGCCAGCTGGTCTTTCAGAGGTTGAACCTGTCCAGCTGCGCCAGGTTCTCTTCGGATTGGATGCTGTAGGGGAGCAGTTTAACGGATGAAAAACATGAGACCAGCAATATGGCATATGATGGAATATGGAATGTGATATAATCATCACATGCATATGATATAAATATGATGATAATATTATAATATTGTTTATTGACCATCAACACTATTGTTATCCCATCATTATCAATAACATTATTATTAGCATATGATGATGGAATATGATGATGGGAATATGGATAATGGTGGGATAAGGATGGGATATAAAATAATAATTATGATGGGATACATGATGGGATCCTCCTGGAATATGATATAGAATACATAATCAACTTGGATCATTAAAGAAGACATAAATCAAGTGAATGTATCATGGGTTATAACATGTTATAACCTATCAAAGATTTACCCTCTGGTAAACTAACATAACTATGGAAAATCACCATTGTTCATGGGAAAATCCACTATATAAATGGTGATTTCCCATAGTTATGTTAGTTTACCAGAGGGTAATTAGCAAACAATCAAAGGGTTGATTTTGCACAGAAGCAAAATCACACAACAAAAAAGCCGCCAAAGGTCCGAGAAAGCTGAGTTACCGGGTTTCCATAGCCATGGGGGTACCCCAAAAACGCTGCTTGGTTTATGATGGAAAATCCCAGAAACGGATGATTTTTGGGGGTACCCCTATGACTTAGGAAACCACCATTTGATTTACAGTAATGAGAAAAATGATTCTCAACAATCAAATTTGGGGCATACAACATGTTCAGACAAAGCCCCCGATCTTCGGTTTCCACATTGCAAAAGGTTGTGCAACCGGGATATCATCGATTCATTGCGCATCAGTGGTCGGCATTCGGTTGGCTACATCATGTACATCGAATTTCTTGTTTGAGTTGGTGAAACCCTTTCTAGCCAGATCCGCCTTTTTGTTTCAGGACTTATATAACATATCCCGACGATATCGCCATGTTTTTCTTTCATTTACATATCCTCATTTGTGACACTTTCAGTGTTTGAAGTCGGAGAAAGTCGGACTTTACATGTGTTGCTTGACCCAATGGATTGGTTTTGTTGGGAAAATCTACACCGGAAACCAGAGTTATTTTCCCATGAAATATGGGGTTTTCTGAAAATGTTCCCAACAAAACCAATCCATCGCTTGACCCATTCCCAAATGTTCCGCCTGCATGGCTTCGCTTCTCAAGTCCTCGAGCTCTTTTCGCAGCTGTCCAGCCTGGGGTGGGATCTGTTGATTTCTATGACATGCTATACCCGGCCTGGTAAACGTTTACATAACTATGGAAAATCACCATTTTTAAGATGTAAATGAACCAAAAATGGCAGTAAACTAACAAAACTATGGAAATTCTGCATGTTCAATAGCTAAGTTTACCAGAGGGTAACCCAAATTGAATTGGGGTAGACATTGCATTTTTCAATGTTCCTGGGTCAACTGACTGTTGATCCAAGTTCGCGCAGTGAAAAGTAGGCTGAAACCTTTGGGGGCCCCTTATGGTTGGGGGCGCTCAGTAATTTCACTGTAAGGAGCTGACTGAACTTTTCATTTAACCAGAATTAAGCCCCTGAATCATTAATTTCACTATCCCAGAATTGGCTGAACCAAAAAATCAGCCGATCAACGCAGGAACCAATCCATTGAAACCACCAAATCCGGCAAAAAGCAGGGTCAGCTGCAGGGGCGCGGCTGTCCAAAACTGGATAGCTGGATACCAAAAAAAAATGCTATTTGAAAGGGACAAACATCATGACAAACCATTTGGCGGTTCCAAACAAAGCCAGAGTTCTCAGGGATCGCCCACAACATGCTGATGTAAGGTCACAGAACCCCCAAAAACAGGGTCAACCTGTGAAAGATCGCAAAATTGGGTTGGGTAAATCCCAATTTCAAGCAATTTTATAGGTTTTTCACCATAAATCCCCTATGCCTTGCGGAGATCTGTGGGGTAAATCCCTAGCATTGTTTGATATTTTTTGGCCTCCACGGCGCTTTGCCGCAGCCGCTCCATCTCTTCTCGCTCCGATGCATACTGGGCCTTGCGAAATCCAGGGGGTGTAGCCAATGAAACTTGTGATTTTGATCAAATGATTTTAAGTGACAAGAATAGCTGGTTGGTGGTATACCTACCCCTCTGAAAAATATGAAAGTCAGTTGGGATGATGAAATTCCCAACTGAATGGAAAAATAAAATTCATGTTCCAAACCACCAACCAGATAGGGCTGAACCTCTAGAAAAACCCTGAAAAACAGAGCCTAGAAGAGTAGATTACACACATGACATCGCCCTATGCTTCAAGCACTATGTGAACGCAACAAAATGCTGATTTCACCAATAAGAACTTCTGATTTCATGATAATTAATTACGCAACACAAATGCGAATTTCAACTCTCATTCGTTGGATCTTTTACCAGCAAACATAGTGATCTAAGCAATACATGGGAACCAGCCAAAGATGGATATGCAAAACCTGGCTGACTTTCCAACCAGCTTAGTCTACCCATTTTTTTACCGAGGAAACTACACCTGGATGGTGAAGTGGGTACATGGATGATCATGGATGTATATAAATGGTGAATAAGCGGACCGTAATCCTTTATCAAAGGATGTGACTCATGGCTGAAAAGACCCCTAACCATGGCCTCTCCCCCATGGAAAGCACCTGGAAATCCCGAAGTTTGACGCGCTGGGGAGTTCACCATTTCCATGTGCTGCTGTCATTTCCCTAGTTGGATCCATCTCATGGTGGGGTCGGACCCATCCAGGATAGCCACTGCCACTCTGGAGCTCTTCACTACACGTTGCCTGCTATGTTTGACGCCTCGTTGTCCCTGGTGAAATCCCATGCCCAAATTTGATGGTTTTGAGCTGCCCTTGACTCAGAGTCTCTCTCTCCATCAGCGACCTCCACTTTGCCCAGTTTGTCTTTCAGCCGCTGCACCTCGTGCTTGCGGTAGGGAGAAGAAACTCAGTGAAAACGCATGAGAAAATCAATGCTTTGACCGAAAAATGCTGACATATATAAACACGGAGAAACATAAACTGATCAAAATCGTGCCTTGAATGTATAAGACTATCCTAAGAAAATGTTGGAAACATATTCTATTTCAGCAACAAGGCTGGGTAATTCACAACAGAATCAGGAAACCGTTAGAATAACCGCTAGACCTCCACTAGACCTAGCTTTATTTAGAAGACCCTACAGAGACGCTTCCAAATTTGATCATGATCAAGTGGATTTATATATTTGTTGGAATGGAGAAAATCATGAAACGTGTATGTGTAAATATCAATGGATTGGTTTAAGGGAAAATCTACAGGAAACCATGGTTTTTACCATCAAATATAGGGGTTTCCTGTAAATTTTCCCATCATCCAATTCTATGAAAATAAGTATATATAAAATACTATAGAATGATACCATGCCGTATACATATACTTTTTCGTGCTTACGCCGCATATTCGTAGACACGCATTGAAATATTGAAATCAGCCTCCAAATACCTTCTGGTAAACCAACATATGACTATGGAAAATCACCATTTTTAATAGGTAAATCAACTATAAATGGCCATTTTCAATAGCTTTTTGTATGTTTACCAGGCCGGGTATCAGCTGGAAGCTGCAACTGATCCAGTTGCCCCGAGCACCTCCTGAGTCTCCGCTTCTCCGTTCTGCGCGTTCTGCGACTGGCACGGAATCCAGTTGGCCACGGGTGGAGACCCCTGGCAATTTTCATAGGGGCACCGGGCACTTTTTTTGGGCACGGGATCTACAGCAGATTGTGAGACAAAGCCACAGTGTAGGATGGTTGTAATTTTTGTATGTCTCCTGCATGGCTATAACTAGGTCCAGGATAGGTCATGACCATTCTTTACCTCGGATATGATCGGTGGGCATACCCGGATGTTTTGTTTGGAGACGACCATTTGGAATAGTTGACACAAGCTCCAAATGGCTAGTTCTTGGTTCTAGTTTATGGCGGTTTGCCACTAACCTGACAATGGAACATTCCGCAGTTATATCAACTTATGTCCCCATATGTTCATATCTGTTCCCGATTTTGATGGTTAAAATCCCTATGAAATAACTACAAAACCATCAACAACAAGGGATTTGTAGCTCGAGATTCTGGCCATTTCATCCCTGGTGAAATTGAGAAGTCCCCATTGATTTGGAGCTATTATTCCCCTGATCAGCGACTGGAAAATATGCGATCTTGAATACCCTTCCAACAGTGGATTTGAGTGCGAAACGAAAGTTCTCCATAGCTCAAACTATCTCAAACTTGTACAAGCTGTGAAAACCTACCATTCAACTTTCGATTTGATCAAATTTCCTGCGAGACTGTCGCTGTTTTTCAACAGATCCTGTTGTGTGGGTTACAGTCTATACAAAACCCATTCAGAGGGTTGCTCCCAACACCCCAGATACTCGGGGATGAAGTGACGTTTCATCAATGCTCGATTGGATCAATGGATTGGTTTGTTGGGGAAAATCTTCACCGGAAACCCATGGGTTTTTACCATCAAATGGTTGGGCATAAACCAGTAAATTTTCCCATCATCCAGTTCTATGATTGGAGCATTTCCCATCCCAGAACGTAAATCAGTGCCTTTGATTTCAAAGCTTCCAATTCCTCAGATCCAAAGTCGACATGGACTGCACTGACTGGGGTCACCAAAAAAGTGTTCGTGGAAAAGGGTACAGTGAACCACGACCAAACCAAAAAATGTGAGAAGGTTGAGCATCTGGCTATGTCTCAAAATTGGATACACCATTCCAACCCATGGTTTTTCAAGTTGGTCCTCTTTCTTCCAACTAAGTTGGTGCAATATCAACTGGCTCACCTCCATTTTTGAGGCTTTTTCGCTCGCAGGGTCAAGTCACCACGAGGACTGTAAGACGGGATGTTTCCGGAATTTAACTGGTATGGTAAACCAAAAAAACAAACTTCTGTTGTTCCGGAAACAAAGGGTTATGGTTGGACAGGCTGCATCATACCATCTGAGTTAGATATTTGCCATCTTTTCGGGTCTATTTAAAGATACAAAATCAAATGGTTCTTTTTTTGGACAGGCTGCATCATAGCCCGAAAATGAGCCAGATTTCTGAGTCCCAGGTGACTCAATTTTCATCATGGAAACCACAAGTCGCCACACAAGTCGTAGGATTGTCGTGACATCGCCAGTTTTTCCAGGTGATGCTATGGCCCTATGGCTTTTTGGATACTAAGTTACTAAGTCATGGTCAAATCACTTTGGATGATTTGGAGGTACCTCCATTTCAAGGAAAGCTCCACAAAAATTCGGAGCTCTGTGCCGTTGGGAAATTCCAATCTTAGCTCCACAAACGGCTTTGGAAATGTCGACCCCACGATGAAAAATTGAGCCAAGGCACTTCTTTCAAAGCCTGGCTCATGGTGCACTGATGATTCCGAAAGCTGGGGACGCGGTTATATTTTTTGCTTATAATAGATCTAACATTGATCTAATAGCGGAATATGATGATATATTGGATTTGTAATTAGATTCTAGTCTATTGCATTTGTTTTGAATTTGCATATCATATGTGTAGGATTATATTGGGGAAGTTTAATCCAGCTACTATCCATTCAGATGGCTGTTAAGCAGGGTCTGATCAATGGGGATTTTTGGGATGGGCCCCCAGTGGGATTAAACTATGGCACTATGGCCTTTGTTCAAAAGGAAAAATGATGACAAGATATGACAGCCACACCATATTACCCTCTGGTAATTTAACACAGCCATGGACAATGGCCCATTTATAGATGGTTTACCTGGGTTTACCTATTAAAAATGATGGATCTTTCCATGGCTATGTTAGTCATAACCAGAGGGTAACATGGCAATTTTCACCATTGGATTTGGGGTATGTACGGTAGAATGCCCAATGTTCAGACAACCATCCTGTACTATCAACGGTTCATACCCAGTGGATGGCTTGTAACATGTTGCAGACATTACAAAACCATGGTTGTCGAAGGGTAAGCTGGTTCCAGTTACTCTAGTTTCTAACCCTTGATCCCACTGGGTTGCTTGGCCATTTTAAGCATTGACATACGCATATATCATGTATCACATACATATCTCTATTTACATACAACGTTTAAAAAATATATACATGTTATAAATTGTTAATATCAGTGTATCTAAGTCTCAATGTATATTCCCACATATAAATCAGTTGGTATATATAATCCTATGTATAATTATATATGTATATAATATAAATTAGATAATTAGTTGGTATAGTCTCCCATATATTACCCTCTGGTTTTTTAACATAGCTATGGACAATGGCCCATTTGTGGATGATTCATGATGATTTACCTTTCAAAAATTGTCGTTTTTGATGGCTACGTTAAATAACCAGAGGGTAGCTGGTATACCCTCTGGTAATTTAACAGTTTGCTATTGAAAATGGCCATAGAAATAGTGGATTTTCCCATTAATAGCATGGTGGATCTTTCCATAGTTATGTTAAATTACCAGAGGGTAACCATCACTATTAAGCACTATTAACCACTATTAACCATCATTAACCACAGTTTTTGTACGTTTACCAGAGGGTAATCCCCTATGCCCTATGATCATCAGCCAACCGAGGGCCGCTTCATGGCCTGAACCTTGGCTTTCTCGGCTTCGAGATCTTGCTGCACCGACTGAACCTGGCGTTTTGTGCGGACGTTCCCCTGGGTTTGGAATATTCACATGGTTTGTAACCCAACAAAAAACAGAAAAAATGTGAAATTTACCCCATTTTGTTTTACATCTTTTGGGGTTACTATAATAACCCACTAGTTTCAATTTTTACCAGGGGCGCTGCAGGGCGCCTGGGTGTTTTGTTGTCTTTTTGTTTTTTTTTTTGCGTTTTTCTGTTTTTGTTTGATGATGGGGTGGGCTGGGGTGGGATATTAACGTTCATGTTCATGTTACGCTGATGATGTTACGTTGATCATGGGGTGGGGTGGGTGGGGCGGGATGTTAACGTTCATGTTCATGTTACGCTGATTGTTTTAAGTTGATCATGGGGTGGGGTGGGGTGGCGGGATGTTAACGTTCACGTTCAGGTTACGATGATGATGTTACGTTGATCATGAGGCGGGGTGGGGTGGGGTGGGATGTCAACGTTTATGTTCATGTTACGCTGATGATGTTAAGTTGATCATGGGGTGGGGTGGGGTGGGGCGGAATGTTAACGTTCATGTTCAGGTTACGATGATGATGTCACGTTGATCATGGGGTGGGGTGGGGTGGGGCAGGATGTTCCACGAATATTTGAGCTTGTCTGAAGTTGCGTACCAAAAAAATCCGCTGGTAGACCATCGCTTTCCATATAAGAATAGCCAAAAATGAGAGGTCCATCCCCCATTTCAGACACACCAATTTTCTGTTTGACAGCATGGTTTGGAACCAGTGATATAATCCTTGAAACTAACCCTGCTAGGTTGTGGAATCGAGGTCTCCCATTTGCCTATGGGCCTTTCGATTGTCACTGCATACGGCTGGATAACCCAAGACCTATCACCCTGCAAAATTATTATTTACTGCTCAAGTATCAAGATACTCTTCACAATTTTTATTTGCAAGATGTTTCCCCTGTATTCCCACTGCGTTCCTCCATAAAAACACCTGAAAATTGACCCAAAAAAAAACTGTTTGGATCAACATTCCAGCACCAACCAGACTTATTGATGATATAATTATCCTTTAAAGCCCATATTAAAGTCATCTAAAATCTATATAGGATGATTCTATCCCCATGTTTTGATAATTGGATATATTGGATATCTAAGGAATATTGGATATATTGGATAATTATTCCGTATTATGGGGATATATCTAAGGAATATTGGATGATTTTATCCCCATGTTTTGCTGCTAAAAAACGGGCCCCCAACAACTGGTGAATCCTTCCTGTGAATCCCAGCGAATCCAATCATTTAGGGCTTTTTCCTCCATACTTTATCCCTACTTTCATTGGCTAAGTCACATGTTGTGCGGGTGAAATGCCATTTTGTGAATAAATCATGATCAATCATGATCAATCAAATCCATGATCCCCATTTCTGTGAATTCTCCATTTATGGACATCAAATGATAAGTGAAAAAATGTCAAATTAATGGGCATCAATCAGTATTTTCGAAAGATCATTCTGGGTAAATTAGAATATTCCACTAACCTGAATTAAGGCCATTTGGGGATGATTTCCCGAATCCTAACCATGATTCCAGGCTTCGGGAGAACAGTGAGGTCGTGATGAAATTTACCCAGATCATTACCCTCTGGTAATTTAACATAACTATGGAAAGATCCACCATTTTTAATGGGAAAATCCACTATTTCGACTGGGCCATTTTCAATAGCAAACTGTTAAATTACCAGAGGGTATACCAGCTACCCTCTGGTTATTTAACGTAGCCATCAAAAACGACAATTTTTGAAAGGTACAGTAAATCATCATGAATCATCCACAAATGGGCCATTGTCCATAGCTATGTTAAAAAACCAGAGGGTAATATATGGGAGACTATACCAACAATTATCATACCCACTTTTTGTGGATGCCATCCGCACCTTGGCACTGCTTTCCTCCTTCAGTTTCTGAAAGGTTTCCCGGGTGCGTTCCTGGCGATTCCAATTTTTTTGGGAAGATCTTGTGGAAATATTGAAAAAATGGATATAATATAGTCATATAGTGGTATAATAGGGATAGAACTGGATAATGATCATGGTGGTGTAACAGGGATAGAATAGGATAAACATGTGGAATACCTGAAAAGAAACGGAAAAAGGCTGAATTCCGCAATTCATCTGGGTAAGTCAGACTAAAATCAGCAGATTTTCGGAGTTTCACCGGCACCAGAAATCGTGGAGTTCTCGGATTTTGCAAACGAAAATTCTGGGGATTTCTCGGATTTCGCCAAGAAAAAGTGGGATCAATAACCCATGACGGATCCATGGTGCTGGTATATTAGTGCTAACATTTATTGGGGGTATATTGATGGGATCCATGGCACACCATATATAGCAGCACCATGGATCCGTCATGGGTAAGAGTATTTCGCCAGCAATCTCCGGCAATCTCCAGCAATCTCTGGATCTTCCACGGATGAATCAACTCTGGAAAACCTGGTAAACGTTTGCATTAAAGGCCCCTGGATCCCTCTGGTTTTACCATAGGAAAATGGTGATTTACTGGTTAACAATGGTGAATAATGGGATGATAATGGGATTTACCCTCTGGTAATTTAACATAACTATGGAAAGATCCACCATTTTTAATGGGAAAATCCACTATTTCGACTGGGCCATTTTCAATAGCAAACTGTTAAATTACCAGAGGGTAGAGCTTGCCACAGAGGCTGTGCTCTGTTGGAACATGTGGATATCTGTCAGCATTTTTCGCGTTTTCTCCGTCTCCTCTTTGTTGATAGCTCACAGTTGCAAAAGCCAAGCCTACTGGCACTGTCGAGACAGGTCCGTCTACGCATCAAGCTGAGCAACACGCGTTCCCAAAAAAATAGATAAGTTTGGCCAAGGAATATGACTCCAGTATGTGGTCAAACCAGGCGATCGTGAATGAACGACAACCACATGCCTTGCGATCAACACAAGGGAAGAATGGGGTATGGTCATCCTACCATCAGGGATTCCTGATGATGGGTGTATTAGCTCCTATTGTTCGGGTGAGGATGATCCCGTTATATTATAGTCACCACTTCCTCCACAAGGATCTGTTTCTGCACCTACTTGTATGAGGAATAAGGGATGGAGGGTATGTAGATCATGCTGTATGGACTTAGATGGGGACGTCAACAAAGACGGAACCCAACAGCTTCTCCAACTGCAAAAACGATTTGGGAAACTATGTTTCCCCACGGCAAAAGGGAAATTCATTTTCTAGCTATATGTATATATTGCATGTGCGTATGTGTATATCAATATGTATAAAATGTATATTCAACAAACATATTATAGAACCAACACATACTAAAACTAATCATAAAGAATATAATGTTGTTAAAACAATAATAAACCATCCCCCAGTCATCACCATTTTTATAGGTGGTATGTTTACCCTTCCCAAATGGCTAGATTATGGCATTGCTTTAACCACATTACATACATAATATATGAATAATGAGTTTCCCCAGTTTAAACCACCATTAAGTAATAATATACATGATATACCTCATCATGTTTAACCACATACATCAAATCGTGATGAGTTTCCGTTCACCGCCACGCCTTCAAGCGCTGCTGTTCGGCCGCGCGCTTGTCTTTCTCTTCTTGAAGTTGAGCCTGGAGATTCACCGATTCCACTGGTGGAAAATGGGACAAAATGAGCAGCAAAACATAGGAATTCATAGGAATTCAACATCACCTCACCAAGAAAAATAGGAAAATCGCAAAATCAAAAAAGATGTTAGCAAAAAATGCTGATTTTTGCAAAAATGTTGATTTTCCCCAGCCAAAAAGTGGATTTCCGATTTCATAGGGCTGTTCGCCAGCAAAAATGTGGATGTTGGCGCCATGAAAAAATTGGGATCCACTGGTAGGTGACCATCCCCATACACTAGCGGTTGTTGAAGACCCAGTGAGATCCTCACCGAAGAAACCAGTGGAATATTGACCGAATATATTTAATCCAGGGGCTATAAATCAATGGGGCTATATAGGCCGTATATATGGTAGGTACCTCCAATTTAGGTTCCTGAAATGGCCATTGAATAAATTTGCAATCCAGTTACTCAAGAATTTGCGATCTTCAAAGTGTATTGTTCAAAAAAATCACTGGATATCGATGGTGCCTAATGGTCCAAGTGGGGTAAATGCTTGCTCACTATAGAAAGCAAACTGAATCACTGAAGGTATATCAAATGATTGAAAAAACAAAAGTCAATATGGTGAGTACCGAATACATACAGGGCAAATCAGAGTAGACAAACCCAAACTAAGGCCGATTGGTGATTGCCCTTACCAGCTGTCATTACAGTGACGTCGCATTAGCACCTGGGACCATTCTTGGGGACACCGCTTCACGTTGGCTCAAACCGCTGGATTTTCACCATTTTTTGAGGTGGTTCAATGATGGTTAGCCCTCCTGAAAAAGATCAAAAGCGTCATGTGAAAGAGGTTTAAGTTGAAATATCGAAACCCTTCAATAGACCACTCTGATTTCCAGAAACCCACGTTGTTACCAGGTCATCTAAAGCATCGCAAAATGCTTGGAACCCATCAAATATATGTAGAGCCCAATTCTATTATACTTGGGTACAGCTCGAAATTGTTTGCCCAACAAACAATTGGATGATTTATTAAACCATAAAATGACCAAGTCTATCATTATTGTTTTCAGCAAAAAAATCAATCTGGATATTTTTGATGCGCGAGAAAAACCCCAAACCAAAAAATGGTAAGGCCACTTTGGTTTTGAGGATGGTTTCTCCTTCGTTAAGAAATCTAATTCACTATATAATCTGAACAGCGCGGCCATTTTGGAATAGTTACCTCAATCCAAACCGCCGTCCCAGTGATGTCGCAGTGATGTTGAAGTCACATTAGTATAACTATATTAGTATAATGTCAACCCTGGATTAATAAACCACAAACGGTTGTTTAATTGGGGGGGTACCATTTAAGTCATTTAAGTATTGGATGAAATTACTATTGGAGGAGTACCCCCCCCTAATAAGCCATGGTTTAGCAAAATCCAGGGTTGACATTAGTTATATTAGAACTATCCACAACCCGTGATTTCCCACAAGTGAATCCCCCAATTCTGAATAGTTCATCCGTAAAACTCCCCCAATTGGTTTCCCGCTGTCACCCGGCCTGAAGTTTCTGCTTCTCCTCTTGTAGCGACTGGAGGGTCTCCTGCCGGATTCTCCTCAAAAATTGGCCGTTACCGTTACATCACAAAGTTGTTTTTTCGGATTTGTTGTAGAAGATTCCACATTGCTGCAAACATTTCGGATTATCCTAGGTGGTACAGTTTGATGAAAAAAAAGAATCGTTGAGAATAGTCAGCACTTGGGTGAACCAACGGCTTTTGTGGCTGTGTCCAAAGTGGTATCCCAAGTTATGGCCATTGCCCTGATGGGTTTGGAAGCCACTGGACGCCTGTTGGTGACGCCCTCATTAGTCACTTGGGCCTGCTATCCCAAGTAGGCAAATAAACAAATGAAACCACCAAGCACATACCCTCTGATAATTTAAGAGTTTGCTATTGAAAATGGCCCAGTCAAAATAGTTGAGTTTCCCATGAAACATGGTGATGTTCCACAGTTATGTAAACGTTTACCAGAGGGTAAATGACATCAACATACATAAACGTGACCTCATTTAGCACATTTGCAGCTTGTGTAGCCCTACTATCCCCATGACCAGGGCATGATGCCCCGCCAATGCCCTTGCCCCATCTCGCCTCCGCCATGGCAGATTCTGCGCAAAGAAACGATGGATTGATTCAAGGTGGCGTCCCATGGTTAGCCAACTTGGCTTACTAGTATGTAACTAGTATAACATAGTGTAACTAGGGTTTATGGTAGATATTGGTAGATATTGGTAGATACAGCAAATCCCTGCTTCATGCCGGGCTTTATTAAAATGTTGATAGCTGGGTCGCACCACGCTTTGGAAAGCGTGGTGTTTTCACGAAGAAGATAGGGCGTTTGCCGGGACTGCCCAAGCAGGTTTTCCTGACTCAACCAATTCTGGGACTGAAGGCTCGACTGTTGATCATAGAAATTTACCCTCTGGTGAACAAACATAGCTATTGAAAATGGCCATTTATAGTGGATTTTCCCATTAAAAATGGTGATTTTCCATAGTTATGTTAGTTTACCAGAGGGTACAGCCTCCTGCTTCATTCTGTTTTCTTAGACATTTTTTTCTTACATGGCAGTGTGTCAAAACCCTGTACCCCTGTAGTTCACATCAAAATAGCTGGGTTAAAATAGATGTTCATCCCACTAAAAATGGTATTAATAGGTATTGATCCATACACACATTGGGAGCGGATGTTTGTTTATCCACTTGCCATTGTACCTTCAGACCGTCAAGGTCAATCCTGTTGAAGTTCACCGGCTTTCGTGGTTTTTTTCGTCGGAAACATGTCGGAGCCAAACTCCCTGGTGTGACGCTGCGGAGAGAAATGCCTTGTTGGTGCACTCAAAAAGATTGTTCACCTTGCCCAAGCCATGTTCTGAACTGACAAAAGCAGCAGTCTTATGTTTGGCATGTTGCGTTGATGGCAGCTGATGCGGATATTTTCCCTTGGTCCACTGGAAAACAGGGGTGGTTCACCACAACCAGTGACCGGTGCAGACCACTGATCTGTGCAAGACGCCATCCATGGGTTTGCCGGCTGGGCTCCTGACCATTGAACGTATATTTTATATGTGTGTGATGATATTATATACTTGTTTTTATTTATATACGCATTTATTTATGAAAGTTATTTTATCTATATATTTATTGATTTGTCTATCAATCTATTCATCTATGCATTCATTCATTCATTCATTCATTTATTCATTCATTCATGCATGCATGCATGCATGCATTCATTCATTCATTCATTTCATTCATTTCATTTCATTCATTTATACACACTATATCACACTACATCACACTATATCACACTATTATATGATGGTGTTAATGGTATGAAGGAAAATTGTGGTGGTTCACATCCATACGAACCTTTTCTCACGGAAATACCATGCATTTCCCAAAACTGGGAGGACTTTCGATTTGATCAGTCAATTTCACTGCAACCCACTTGCGAGGGAAATCACCAATCGTCACTCGCCACCGGACCAACCAATATCGTTCAGGCTATCATGTCCTGGGCCAGTTCAAGGCACCAGAAACCCAGCTGCCAACGGATGAATGGAATCCAGTTTCATTCTGCGTTAATTTCAGATTCAGGTCCAGTCCCCTAGTCTACTTCGCTTTCTTCAGAGCCTGGTCGCGGTTGGGCAACAAGTTATCGATAGACATCAAATGCGAACAAACCATCCAATATTTCTCCGCAAATTCATTTGAGATTCTGCAATAAGAACATAATTTTCTGTCAAGCACTCGCAAATTCTCCAGCAAATCTTATCATCCATCAAAAAATCATCAGCCCAACACTATGACCATCAAGAAAAAACTTTGGTTTGGAGTCACTCTGGTCAGTGAGAGAGTCCATGTTCCCCCTTCTGATCGCTGCACTCTTCTTGTGAACACTGCCCCAAAATGACCTTAAAAACAGCAGACAGGCAGTTCCGAGCGCGACCATCCGCAGCATGAACATTTAAGGGTGTTTGTTTTGAAGACACCAACCTGCTGAGAATTCAATACGTTTCTGGTTCCAAGTCACTATATAAATATATAAATATATATATATGTGTATATATATATATGTATATAGATAAACATGTATAATATATATATATATATATGTATGTATGTATGTATATATATGTATGTATGTAAATATATATATATGTACATGTATGTATATGTATATATATATAAACATGTATAATATATATATATGTATATATATATATATTGTATATATATATTGTATATATATATATATTGTATATATATAGTGTATATACATTGTATGTATATATATATATTGTATATATATTGTATATATATTGTATATATATTGTATATATATTGTATATATATATATATGTGCGTATATATATATGTATGTATATGTATATGTGTGTATATGTATGTATATGTATATGTATGTATATATATATATATATGTGTGTGTATGTATATATATATATAGAATCTCTTCCACACAAAATCACTCACCGCCAAATGCCAGGCATCCCCACCTTCTACTGTCCGAAGGTTTTCAGCCTTACCCGGGGTGAAGTTGGTTGGCAAAGTACCGCAATCCGTGGGTTGCAAACTTTGGTGTGTTACTCGCCAACAACCGGGGGGGTAACATCAATCATTGCACCAGTTCATCACCCCAGTTGTGTAAGACGTTGGTTTCATGTCCTTTATGGCCTTTTGACATGTTTTTCTTAGCAAATAATTGCAAAACATGATTCTCAAAAAATTGAGAATTGTGAACTCCACGTCAAAATCTGGAATGTGGATGTTTGGCAAAAACGTCGGTGCTTTATCGATAAGGATTTGGGTGTCGTTCAATTAAAATAGAGGATGTGTGCCTGAAGAAGTTCGGTTCTTCAGGTCTTTAACCAACACAAATCGGAATTGACCAGAATGTTGGGTTTGCACAGCCCCCCCGGTTTCACAAAATTGACTCACAGTAAAAAGGAAAATCCCATAAATCGCAACTTATCGAATAAGTGCAGGGGTATTCCCATCAAATATATATATATATGCGTGTATACAACTGTATATATATAAATATAGTGATATATGATATATTGGAAATCCCCAAAATCATGGTTGATAGGGATTCCCAGGTCATGAATTGTGGTATAAACCCCAGAACCAATCATCGACCCTCCTGTGACACACACGGTGACCTTCAGCGCTTTTTCTATCCTCTACGCATTTCCAGTCCCATACCGTCGTGCTTTGCGTTCTGCATTGCGCTCTGCGCAGCGTCTCTTGTTCTTTCGAGCCTTCTTTGAGGGCTCCAGCTTTTCGGCTCTCTCTTGGACTCGAGGATCCTCCCAAAATATGCGGGCTGCTGACACCTCTGCTTCTATCTTGCTGCCACACACTTCGCCTTTGTACTCCCTGTTACCTAAACGGAGCTCTGTTAGTGAGTCGCAGCGTGGACTGAAAGTTGCCGTCCGCATCCTTGACTGTCTTGTAGATCCCGAATGGAACATCACCAGGTTTAGAATGAAGCAAGCGCCTCACTGCGAAAGTTGTGGCTGACAGATGTCCATGGTTTTTCAATACGCTTCAGATATGTTTAAATCGGCAACACTTTTGATTTATATAATGGTGTCATCAGTGTCTTGTAACATCATGCAACTAAGCCACATGAAGAAATCGACCGTCGCACTTTTCACATGATGGCCATACTTGCTCGCGTCAAAACCCCACAGCCGCCCACGCACCGGAGATCGTCGAGACTCGGGCCTTTGTGCACCACTGGAAGGCCTTGGTCACTACCAAGATGGTGTTGACAGAAAGTTGGAAACTCGCTGGAAACTCTCTGATGAAAAGTGAAAGACCTACAGTTGCGAAGAGGTCGTGCAAAATGCAGAACATCGAAAACTACAAGGAGAACAGATGGAATGAAAGAACGCTGCAAGACATGTTGTGAAAGAGATCTCTAAGTCTCCGAAATTAGAAAAGCTGAAAAGATCAACATAGATCAACGATCTTAAATGCCTTAGATTCGTATGAATCTCCAATACTGTTCTATAGGACCCGTCATGAGTCCAAACTTGTCGCATGTCCAATAAATGTCACATTGGACTGACAGAAAAAGTAACAATGGGTATGGCTATGGACAGTACACTGCATTGGATGTACTCCAGGCCAAAAAGAGCTGAAACGAGCTGATCCTTTGGTCACTAGCAAGATGGTGTTGACAGAAAGCTCGAAACTCAGACAACGACATATAAAATTGAAAGACGGCCACAGCTGCGAAGAAGTTTGTTTGTATAAGTGCAAGACATGGAAAACTGCAAGGACAAGAGATGGAACGAAGTAAAGCTGCAAGACATGTTGTGAAAGATATCTCGATGTCTCTAAAATCAGAAAACACCAAAAACAGCTAATCCTTTGGTGCTCCGAGTTGAGGAACGGTTTCTGCTTGGCCTTCCTCGAAGAAGACGAAGAATTCCTGGCTTCTCGACTCCTCGAAGAAGACGAAGAATTCCTGGCTTCTCGACTCCTCAAAGAAGACGAAGAATTCCTGGCTTCTCGACTCCTGAAAGAAGACGAAGAATTCCTGGCTTCTCGACTCCTCAAAGAAGACGAAGAATTCCTGGCTTCTGGACTCCTCAAAGAAGACGAAGAATTCCTTCCTTTTGGACTTCTCGAAGAAGACGAAGAATTCCTGGCTTCTCGACTCCGCTTCTGTGGCTCAGGGGATTTTTCTGGCCAAGAAGCTTCTGCAGAGACTTTCTTCCTGGCTGCATCTGTAGAAGCCGACTTCTTGTGTCTTAGTCCTACTTTTGGAAGCCCATCATGGTCTCTAACCTTCAATGCAGTTTTAACCCTGGCACCATCCCTGGAGACCATGGCTTCGCCGCAGCAGCAGATGACAACTTGGCAACTTGTCAAAATCATGTGGTATTAATAGTTTTGTGACCGACTCCTGATGTAAAAACTCAAATCCGTTGAATAAAAGTGCAGATTGACCTCTGCATCTGATCTTTCTGTTTTCTATGTTCCTACTTGAAACTGCAGTTTGGTCCCAATCAAGAGCCAGCGAAAGCAGCAACACACAGAAGTATCTAGAGATGGATCTGCCGATCAACTGGGTAAACGTTGACCAATGGTGGATTGATGCCTCAATTCTTTACCAGCTTCAATCCTGCCTATTCTCGGATTCCTTTGCAAAGTTCCAACAAGTATTTAGCCACGCAGAAGGCGATGTTTCTATTGACAGACGGGTTGATACCCAACGTTCCTCGTGCTCAAATTTTGTTTGATCCCCATCATTCAGTTGTTGACGCCCAGTCATTTTTAGCTAAAATCAACATCAAATGACATACACTATATCTTTGGTTGATGAAATCCCATCGTATGCTGCATTTCGGGTTGTTCAAATCCATTTTTACTTGCGGGATAATTTTGCTGCTTAACTGCCAGCATTGACATCTCCCCATCACCGCGGGAAAGCGACCCAAGCATCCACTTGGATGGCACCTCCCAAGGTTGACGACCCTGGTTGCCATGTTGCCCAAAGATTGGTGTTTGAACCGTGACTTGAGAGGGGGAACACGAAAGGTAAGTAAGCAAGAAAGGAACCGAAGAAAAAATGAAGGGGAGAGGGCAGGGAAAAAAACATAAAGTGGAGTCTGGTAAAAGCGACGCGGCCATTTTCTTTCCAAAAATATGAAAGGGAGTCTGGTAAAAGCGACTGAAAGGCTTCGGCGATGTGGTTGGGGTTGGTGGTGGTTGTGGTGTTGGTGGTGTTGGTGGTGCTGGTGGTGTTGGTGTTGTTAGTGTTGTTGGTATTGGTGTTGTTGGTGTTGTTGGTGGTGGTAGTGTTTCTGGTGTTGTTAGTGTTGTTAGTGTTGTTAGTGTGGGTTTGTTGGTGGTGTTGGTGTTGTTGGTCGTGTTGTTGGTGTTGGTATTGTTTGTGTTCGTGTTGTTGTTGTTGTTGCTGTTGCTGTTGTTGTTGCTGCTGCTGTTGATGGTGTTGTTGTTGTTGTTGCTGCTGCTGCTGTTGATGGTGTTGTTGTTGTTGTTGTTGTTGTTGTTGTGTGTTGTTGTGTGTTGTTGTGTGTTGTTGTGTGTTGTTGTGTGTTGTTGTGTGTTGTTGTGTGATGTTGTGTGTTGTTGTGTGTTGTTGTGTGTTGTTGTGTGTTGTTGTGTGTTGTTGTGTGTTGTTGTGTGTTGTTGTGTGTTGTTGTGTGTTGTTGTGTGTTGTTGTGTGTTGTTGTGGGTTGTTGTGTGTTGTTGTTGTGTTGTTGTGTGTTGTTGTGTGTTGTTGTGTGTTGTTGTGTGTTGTTGTGTGTTGTTGTGTGTTGTTGTGTGTTGTTGTGTGTTGGTGTGTGTTGTTGTGTGTTGTTGTGTGTTGTTGTGTGTTGTTGTGTGTTGTTGTGTGTTGTTGTGTGTTGTTGTGTGTTGTTGTGTGTTGTTGTTGTGTGGTGTTGTTGTTGTGTGTTGTTGTTGTGTGTTGTTGTGTGTTGTTGTGTGTTGTTGTGTGTTGTTGTGTGTTGTTGTGTGTTGTTGTGTGTTGTTGTGTGTTGTTGTTTGTTGTTGTTGTTGTTGTTGTTGTTGTTGTTGTTTGTTGTTGTTGTTGTTGTTGTTGGTGTTGGTGTTGTTGTGTGTTGCGTGTGTTGTTGTGTGTTGTTGTGTGTTGTTGTGTGTTGTTGTGTGTTGTTGTGTGTTGTTGTGTGTTGTTGTGTGTTGTTGTGTGTTGTTGTGTGGTTGTGTGTTGTTGTGTGTTGTTGTGTGTTGTTGTGTGTTGTTGTGTGTTGTTGTGTGTTGTTGTGTGTTGTTGTGTGTTGTTGTGTGTTGTGTGTGTGTTGTGTGTTTTGTGTGTTGTGTGTTGTGCGTTGTGCGTTGTGCGTTGTGCGTTGGTGTTGTTGTTGTTGTTGTTGTCGTCGTTGTTGTTGTTGTTGCTGTTGCTGTTGCTGTTGGTGTTGTTGTTGTTGGTGTTGGTGTTACCCCTGCAGCGTGTTTGCTCGGTTCCGTAGTGGCCGAAAATCGTCAAATCGGTGGTGTTTTCGCGTGTTTTTGCAACTCTCGGAGCAAAAAACACCGTAAATACCGATGTTTTTGGCGGGTCAGAAGCCCAAAACCACAGTATTTACGATGTTTTTTGCCTCTGGTAGTAAAAAGCACGGTATTTACAGTGTTTTTTGGCCAGCACCTAGCAAAAACACTGGTATTTACGGAGGTTTCACCATGTAGCAAAATGTGGTTTCTTGATCCAAAAAGAACAAAAATACTGTAAATTACAATGTTTTGAGTCTGCTCTTAGGGTGCGTGGGAGGTGTGGAGGGGGGGGGGTTACTAAAATGACTAGCAATCTCCTGAAGAATCAGGTAACGGGGCTGGCCGCCCTCCCCTTTACTTCGTAAAGTAAAACTCAAGGTAGCCCCTCTGGAGCTACCTTTCGTGATATGTTCGGGTTATAGTTATGACTAACCCGCTTTGATGAGTATGTCCGTTGTTGAGACTATCAAGTTGTGTATTCATAGAATCAACATGGCAGAACGGTCTAGGAGTACTTATAGACCAAAGCATCACTGAATGTTTAGGCATAAACATCGTCCTTGCACATCATTTCCATGGGGTTGATGGCAAATTGCTATGGTGCATAGACCAACACGGCCATTCAATAGTGAAGAATAGAAAACCAACCTCATGGTTACAGTGTACTGCTCCAACAATCACCGAGTTCCGGTTCATAACAGCAATTGTCCTGCTTCAACCAGCTCCATTCCAACCAACCACCAGCAACCTCGATCTTCCCCCGCTTTCCAGCCATTTCAAGCATCAATCCTCCATGGCAGCCGGGTCACCCGTTGAGGGCGTCAATGGCTTGTGCCACCTCTTCCTTCGAAATGTAGACTGCGGGTCCACCGGCACATTTGCCCTGGAGACCGCAAGGCAATGGCTGAAAGGGGGAGAAGAGGGTCCCTGGGGCTCACAATTTTTTAATCATATTATTTGGTGCATTTGCATACATTCTTACAAATGTGTAGGCATATCATATCTATGTCTACATGTATATGTTATATAGGTATTTGAAACTATATAATTTTGCTTGACACAAATGCATGTCCTCAAAAAAAACTTGGAGAGTTATGTATGTATGTATGTATGTATGTTTGTATGTATGTATGTATGTATCTATGATTATTTATTTATGTATGTATGTATGCATGCATGCATGTATGTATGTATGGATGTATGTTTATGTACGTATGTATGTATGTATGTATGTGTGTATGTGTGTATGTATGTATGTATGTATGTATGTATGTATGTATGTATGAATGTATGTATGTATGTATGTTTATGTATGTTTATGTATGTATGTATGTATGTATGTATGTTTATGTATGTATGTATGTATGTATGTATGTATGTACGTATGTATGTATGCTTATGTATGTATGCTTATGTATGTATGTATGTATGTATGTATGTATGTATGTATGTATGTATGTATGTATGTATGTATGTATGTATGTATGTATGTGTGTATGTGTGTATGTATGTATGTATGTATGTATGTATGTATGTATGTATGTATGTATGTATGCATGTATGTATGTATGCATGCATGCATGTATGTATGTATGTATGATCATGTATGTATGTATGTACGATTATGTGTGTGCGAGCTTAAGGGATCACTTGGAGCACCGGAAAGTGGATCACTTAGAGCACCGGATCACTTAGAGCACCATGGGATCACTTAGAGCACCAAAAAGTGGATCACTTAGAGCACCAGAGACCTTTGGGGTAACACTTGGGGACACGGGGCTGGGACATGGAGTCAGGCACAGCAACCTCATCATCTTTATTGCTGTCCCGCAGACACGCACTGCACTGCTCTTTCATGATCAGTTACCGGTGGGGTGGGGTGGGGTCAAAACGTTCATGTTCCTGTGCACACACAGGCAAGACGTTCCTGCTACGTCGTAACATCTTCGTCAAGTGACTTGCAAGACGTTCCTGATACGTTATAACATCTTCGAGAAGAGCCCTTCTGAACGACAACGGGCCCCACGGGCTCCACGGGCTCCACGGGCTCTATACGGGCTCTACGGGCTCCACGCGGGCTCCACGGGCTCCACGGGCTCCACGGGCTCCACGGGCTCCACGAGCTCCACGGGCTCCACTGGTTCCACTGGTTCCACGGGCTCCACGGGCTCCACGGGCTCCACGGGCTCCACGGGCTCCACGGGCTCCACGGCCTCTACGGGCTCCACGGGCTGCACGGGCTCCACGGGCTCCACGGCCTCTACGGGCTCCACGGGCTGCACGGGCTCCACGGGCTCTCTATGCGGGCCCCTCCTTACGGTTGCGGGCTTACGGGCTTATGGGATCTACCGCGCGACCCTCTACGGCTCTACGGAGCCCATACGCGGCCTAGCGGCCTTACGGGCTTTACGGTTACAGAAGAATGGAAAGATTCGAACGTATACAGTTTCACAACAGAAAGCGAAACTCTCTAGATCTGAGCGAAAGGCAACAAAAATGCTGATTCATGTGGTAAGCAACAGATACACCCAACGATCAAAAAAAACATTTGTCAATAACCCAAATGGCGAAATATCGAGCTCAATTCCTACTAATTTACAATGAATTTTGGATGCACTAGTTTTTAACAATACTAAGTATCTAACTCTTTAACTATAATTCAATAAAGATACTCGACATATATAGAGAGAGAGATATATATATATATACATACATACATCAATACTTGAAGAATAGCAAGGCATATACATACAGATACTGCTTCTGTGGGAACTCCTCGCAAGTCTCCAGAAAACGGTTTGTGTTGGACACGGCAGCAAACAGACACTACTTTTGAGACGGCGCACTGGTCTCTTGTCTCTCAGCAGATCTCATCAGCGAATTTGATCTGTTATGAAGATAAAGATCATGTTATTACCCCAATCAACATACTGTTCATATGGGGTGGCTAATTTTGATCCCTTGTGAAGATAAAGATCATGTTATTACCCCAATCAACATATTCATTTCCCTTTGAGGTCTCTAACGCCTGCAGAGACATGGCTGTGTCTCAAAATTGTGTATGGAACGTTCAGCGGCGTTCAGGACGCATGGAACGTTCAGGACGCATGGAACGAAGGTGCTTCGTAACTAGTCTTGTTCCGGACCTTTGGAGTGTGACGACATAAATGAAATACAGAAATAAGCAAATAACTACATTAAAAAAACAATAAGTTTAAATTTTATATATATATATGTGTATGTATATCTATATGCATATCATACATGGTCATTTACATGTCAAGGATATGCATGTTGAAGGTACTCACGCTAGCCGTCTCCCATTTTCACTTCTCATCTGCGCGACATCCTTGTTGTACACCTGTTCAACGCAGGTTTGCATTGGATGGCTAGTGCTCGTGCACTAGCTAGGACACAACCGGTAGCCATGAGTATTTGACCCTTCTGAACGACAACCGGCTCCACGGGCTCCACGGGCTCTACAGGCTCTACGGGCTCTACGTCGTTACCTTTCAATGACCATAAGGAAAGGGCTAACACGGCTCACCCGACGACACAACAGTGGGCCTCGATGAGGCTCCACGGGCTCCACGCGTACGCTTACGGGCTCTACGGGCTCTACGGGCTAATACGGGCTCCACGGGCTCCACGGGCTCCACGGGCTCCACGGGCTCCACGGGGGGCTCTACGGGCTCTACGGGCTCCACGGGCTCCACAGGCTCCACGGGCTCTACGGGCTCTACTGGCTCTGCGGGCCTTACGGGCCTTACGGGCCTTACGGGCTTTACGGAAAGATTCGAACGTATACAGTTTCACACCAGAAAGCGAAACTCTCTAGATCTGAGTGGTACGGATCTGGAACGGGTATGGAACAGGCATTGGAATCATACATCTTCATCAAGTCAACGTTGCAACATGTTTGTTATGTAACTTGCAAGACGTTCCTGCTAAATTGCAACATCTTCTTCAAGTAACGTGCCAGATGTTCCTGATACGTTGTAAACTCTTCTTCAAGTAACTTCCAAGACGTTCCTGATACGATGGAACAACTTCTTCAAGTAAAAGCAGATCGCATGGAATGTTATCTCGTGCTTCCGAGACATATGACTGCATCCATTTATGCGTCTATATGGCTCTGCACATATATGGAACTCCAGCGCTATGTCTCTCTTATGTCTCTTTTCGGCGCTCCAAGCGATCCACTTTTGGGTGCTCTAAGCGATCCACTTTTCAGCGCTCCAAGCGAACCCCCGACCGTATGTATGATTATGTATGTATGTATGATTATGTATGTATGTATGATTATGTCTGTATGTATGATTATGTCTCTATGTATGTGTGTATGTCTGTCTGTCTGTCTGGCTGTATGTCTGTCTGTCTGTCTCTGTCTATGTCTATCTCTATGTCTATGTCTATGTCTATGTCTATGTCATGTCTATGTCTATGTCAATGTCTATGTCTTATCTATGTATATGTATTTGTATTTGCATATGTATATGTAAATGTATATGCGTATGTATGTATGTATGTATGTATGTAGGTAGGTAGGTAGGTAGGTAGGTATGTATAAGTATGTATATGCATGTATGCATGTATGCATGTATGCATCTATGCATGTATGCATGTATGCATGTATGCATCTATGCATCTATGCATCTATGCATCTATGCATGTATGCATCTATGCATCTATGCATCTATGCATCTATGCATCTATGCATCTATGCATCTATGCATCTATGCATCTATGCATCTATGCATCTATGCATCTATGCATCTATGCATCTATGCATCTATGCATCTATGCATCTATGCATCTATGCATGTATGCATGTATGCATGTATGCATGTATGCATGTATGCATGTATGCATGTATGGATGCATGCATGCATGCATGGATGGATGGATGGATGGATGAAAGGATGGATGTTGGATGTTTGCATGTATGCATGGATGCATGCATGTATGCATGCATGCATGCGTGTGTGTCTGTCTGTCTGTTTGTTTGTCTGTCTGTCTGTCTGTATGCATGCATGGATGTATGCATGCATGTATGTATGTCTCTCTGTCTGCCTGCCTGCCTGGCTGCCTGCCTGGCTGTCTGTCTGTATGTATATATGATATATGTGTACATAACTACCACTATACCGGTGTATACCTGTAGAACCTGTGTGTCGGGGGTGTGGCTTGAACTCATTGGATACCTCCAGTGGCCCGAAACCATGGGCCATAGTGGATACCCAAATTTGGACAACTCGAAGTGTGAAGGGAGCAATGTCAACCCGGATTTTAAAACCTGGCTGATACATGGGCCAAAAAATTTATCTGCTACTAACATGCACCCTTAATTGAACAGCCCAGTGGTGTATTGTATAACCAAGGTCTGAAGATCAAACACCATGGTACAGGGCATCCTATCACCGGTGATTCTAAGAAATACTCCGGCTATCTGGGATGAACCTCCAAGTGTTCAGTTGGGGATGGGTCAAAAGCTTCCCATTTTTGGTGGCTTTGAGGTCTTGACCCATACAGATCCATGCAATGCAAGCTCCAGTGCCTTTTTGAGGCCTCAAAAAACGTGCTTCTGCCGCAAATCCAGTCATATTGGAACCCAGGTTTGGTGGTGAAATAATTATTCCATCTCATCGTATTTTGCGAAACACGCATTTTCCCATCATTTTCTCTGGGGATATACCTACTTATGGTTCCTGGGGTGAACCACTTGTAAGTTGGTATGTGTCCCAATGACCTAGTTCGATGTATCTACCATAAACCATAGTTATATGAGCTATTGGCGGCCCCGAAACGGATCCGCACCCCGCCGGTGCGGTGCCAAGCGTGCCAAGCTACAGATCCTTCATGGACTCGGCCACCTTCTTCAACAGAGCCGCTTGCTGCAGATGAGCCTGTGGAACCATGGAACCATAGGCGGATATACTACCCCCAAGTTGTGGCGATTTAACAACAAAACCACCAAATCATATCTGGCGCTGTGAAAAAATGGGAGGTACCGTGGTGGGATTTGTTAAAACCGTGTAAAACCTGTCATTATTTTAATCGGATAATAATGGAGATGCATATTATGGTATAATGGTATATAAGTAATCAACTTGATATGATTTTTTACTTCATCTGCAAATTGGGTATGCATCCCCCAATGGCCATATCAATAAGGAAAATAATGATTAACCAGTGGATTTGAGGGTACCCTATTTGCAAACAAACCCTCTTTAGTAGCCAATGACACTACTATTTTGGGGGAACCCCCCCTATCCAGGGTGACTAGAGATCTAGGTTTCTAATGCGAAAAACATCGAACTAAATGGGTGATTTTCCAGGAAGCCGTTGACGGCCAGAAGGTATAATCCATACACACAGTAAAGCCAGTTATAGGCATAGGTGGCATATCCGCGCTTGAAAAGTTGAATTTCAGAAGATGTTCAATATGGGTATGCACCCCCAAATTGGAAAGGTTTGTTAAACCGCAACAAACAAATTTAGGTGTTGGGGTCTCCTCCAAAATGAGCGATGTCATGCCAGACTTAAGTCTTACTGTTGTGTGCTGCAATGGCTGGGGTCACCACCAATCCTGCAAGTGCCTGAATCTGCCAAGGAAAGCAAAATTGTCAGAATTGTTACACATGAAATTGCATGCCCGTCAAAAATGTTTGACTTGTAGATAACCCAAAAAATTAAAAGTTAGGCATCCAAATGTTCTCATTAGGTATGTTTTTTGCTTTCACAATACCTGCATGGTGTGTTTCATGCGGACCACGACAGCACGCTGGGCACCTCCAAAGCCATTTTTGTTGCGGAGATGGCGAATCAAGGCGGCACGAAGGCTGGATGCTGGATGCTGGAGCCACCAACAACCAATAAATCGTGTTGTCCATTCCTAAACCACACATTTTCGAAGGTCCATTTGGGATGAAAACACTGAACAAATCGATACCAAATTAATTTCGAAAATCTGTGGTCTGAAAATGTGGTTTCTATTGACCAAGTCGTTGGCAATTTGAGTGGCAGAAAGGATGATAGACCATAGGAACAATATCAATCAACGGTATATTTTCCTGTGTTTTTGGCATTTTTCATGGGTTTTTATATATCAACCAGATCGGGTGATGTGGCGGTTTTTTTCGGGGTTGGAATCCTGGAGACACCAGCCAAAACCACTGCGACTCGGCAGTTATGAAATGGGATCCTCCGAAACGGCCATAACAGATTACCCATAGGATCCATGGTGCTGGTATATATGCTAACATTTGGGGTATATTGATGGGATCCATGTTACCATATATAGCAGCACCATGGATCCTATGGGTTATGAGAAAATGGTGATCAATGATCAGCCATTAGGGGTTTGGAGCACGATTCATTAATCCGATTCATCGAAACATCAACTGATTCTACGTATACTGGTCTGAGTTCTCCCATTTTTTTGTCTGAAAATAATGTACCATAATTAATCATAATGTACCTAAGAATAAAGCTTTGGAATGGTTTTGCCGTTTTTAGACACGCCCATTCATCACCCCTTTTCTGGCAGCAAACGGCTCACCTTTCCGCCCCCTCCCCTTCAGGGAGGGGCTACTGCGAAAGTCCAGATCATTGAAAGAGTTGGAGAAGCTGGTGCCCAGGTTAGTGATCAGAAGGCAGTATTCATGGGGAAAGTTGAAAAATAGTTCGTGAAAATCGTCGAAAAATAGTTCGGTCCTCATGAGGCAAATCCAATAATAACAACACCATGAATGTTGCCCTCAAGAGTCCCCCCAAAATTTCCAGCAACATGAGGCATTCAACAATCTCATGGAAGAACATGGACAACTTACCATCAATGGAGGCGAGGGAGATATGAAAAATTGTATGTGCCATGGCCCAAGGCTTAGATCGCCAAAAGGATGCAAATCAAATATGGAACGCTATAGAAAAACGCCTAATGGAAATTATGAACCCATAAATTTCGACATAAATTGTGCTAAACCGCTGGGTTGTGGATCATTGGGGTATCATTTTAGCAAACGATTTCACTATCCATGGGTTTATTATTCCGGGGACCTTGGAGCTGACGATCATCGCCCGAACTCATCCCTATGGATCCAGAAGCTACTGTATGGGTGGATCCGTATGGAATATGATGATAATTACATAACAATTAAGTACCCTAAAAAATGCTCAACCTATTATATGGACTTTGCAAATATACACTTAACATTAACCCTCCTGTAATCGCAAGTGGCAATTGACAATCCCCGATTTGTAGATCATTGTCCCATGAACACCTCCATTTATAGGCTTTTTCCCATTGCCACGTTTGACTGCCGGAGGGTATTTACGAATAAGCTTAGCATATCTTGGTGTTGTTCGATCACAACTTAGGATTGCTCTGCCTTCACAACGGTTCAGACCTCCAACAGTTTTCATGCGGCCTGGTGAAACATGATGAAAGCCACGAGGCTGGGCGGTACCATAACCGGCTCTATGGATGTGTTCCCCAGTGAAACGTTTGTTGGTTTGTGTTAACCATGAAGTAGTTCTATGCATCTACCATAAAGCCTCGAATTTGCCTATGTATCTTCACATTAACTTATCGATTCCAAACTGGGGCACCACTTACTGTCCATGATATTCCACTAACAGTCCAGATTCTCCCCCAACATACCCTCTGGTAAACTAACATAGCTATGGAAAATCACAATTTTTAATGGGTAAATCCATTATAAATGGCCATTTTCAATAGCTATGTTAGCTTACCAGAGGGCAAATACTGTATCCCTATTATCAATATTATCCCATCAATTCATGGATAAATATTGGTCCCTTGTAAAATCACTGTGATCACTAGTATCACTGGATAGTATCCTGATATTCATTCTTATCCCATGAGTTCATATTAATTTATCAACCATATCCCAGATTCTCCAATTACTATTGTACTGTCCCTACTATCACTATTATCCCATTCATTCATATTAAGTCACTAGTTTCACTATGATCACTATTATCACTGCATAGTATCCTGATATTCACTTTTATCCCATTAGTTCAAATAAATTACCACTCATATCCCAGATTCTCCAATTGATATTGTATTATCCCTATTATCACTATTATCCCATTCATTCATATTAAGTCACTATTATCACTATTATCACTGCATAGTATCCTGATATTCACTATTATCCCATTAGTTCATACAGATTACCACTCATATCCCAGATTCTCCAATTAATATTGTATTATCCCTATTATCACTATTTTCCCATTCATTCATATTAAGTCACTATTATCACTATCATCACTATTATCACTGGATGATATCCTGATATTCACTATTATCCCATTAATTCATATTAATTTACTATCCAATAAGTGTGACATCAGAATATTTTTGTTGGGCCCTTGTGCGCCTCATGACCAGCCGAGCTGCGCTTTCAGCAGACTCGGTGACTTTTCGGGATCAAACAATCGAGCTGATGGCCAGAATCCCCAGCGTATTTTTGCTGGTGGGTGGTTGACCTACCCCCCCTATGAGAGTCATTTGGGATGATTATTCCCAATATATGGAAAAATAAAAAAGTTCCAAACCACCAATCAGTTTGGAATGCTTCAAGAAATCTTGAAGTGTATTGGTTCCAGGTTCCTCCCAATTCTGGAAAAAATCAGGGAAAACTGGCCGTGAACATCGCCAACATGATGGAACACGTTCAAGTTTCCTGGGAGTCCAATACACGTTCAAGTTTCCTGGGAGTCCAATACCACTCAGTACCTGGTTGGCAATGAGTGAAGTGAGTGAAGTGAGTGGAGTGAGTGGAGTGAGTGGAGTGAGTGGAGTGAGTGGAGTGAGTGGAGTGAGTGGAGTGAGTGGAGTGAGTGGAGTGAGTGGAGTGAGTGGAGTGAGTGGAGTGAGTGGAGTGAGTGGAGTGAGTGGAGTGAGAGGAGTGAGAGGAGTGAGAGAGAGAGAGAGTGAGTGAGTGAGTGAGAGAGTGAGTGAGAGAGTGAGAGAGTGAGAGAGTGAGAGAGTGAGAGAGTGAGAGAGTGAGAGAGTGAGAGAGTGAGAGAGTGAGAGAGTGAGTGAGTGAGTGAGTGGGTGGGTGAGTGAGTGAGTGGGTGAGTGAGTGAGTCAGTCAGTCAGTCAGTGAGTGAGTGGAGTGAGTGGGAGTGGAGTGGAGTGGAGTGGAGTGGAGTGGAGTGGAGTGGAGTGGAGTGGAGTGGAGTGGAGTGGGGTGGAGTGGAGTGGAGTGGAGTGGAGTGGAGTGGAGTGGAGTGGAGTGGAGTGGAGTGGAGTGGAGTGGAGTGGAGTGGAGTGGAGTGGAGTGGAGTGGAGTGGAGTGGAAGTGGAGTGGAGTGGGGTGGGGTGGGGTGGGGTGGGGTGGCGTGGAGTGGAGTGGAGTGGAGTGGAGTGAGTGGGTGGGTGAGTGAGAGACAGTCAGCGAGAGAGTGAGTGAGTGAGTGAGTGAGTGAGTGAGCGAGTGAGTGAGCGAGTGAGTGAGCGAGTGAGCGAGTGAGTGAGCGAGTGAGCGAGGGAGGGAGCGAGGGAGGGAGCGAGGGAGGGAGCGAGGGAGGGAGCGAGGGAGGGAGCGAGGGAGGGAGCGAGGGAGGGAGGGAGTGAGTGAGTGAGTGAGCGAGTGAGCGAGTGAGCGAGTGAGCGAGTGAGTGAGTGAGTGAGTGAGTGAGTGAGAGAGTGAGAGAGTGAGAGAGTGAGAGAGTGAGAGAGTGAGAGAGTGAGCGAGTGAGCGAGTGAGAGAGTGAGAGAGTGAGAGAGTGAGAGAGTGAGAGAGTGAGAGAGTGAGAGAGTGAGAGAGTGAGAGAGTGAGAGAGTGAGAGAGTGAGAGAGTGAGAGTGAGAGAGTGAGAGAGTGAGAGAGTGAGAGAGTGAGAGAGTGAGTGAGTGAGTGAGTGAGAGAGAGAGAGAGTGGGTGAGTGGGTGAGTGGGTGAGTGGGTGAGAGAGTGAGAGAGTGAGTGGGTGAGTGGGTGAGTGGGTGAGTGGGTGAGTGGGTGAGTGGGTGAGTGGGTGAGTGGGTGAGTGGGTGAGTGGGTGAGTGGGTGAGTGGGTGAGGGGGTGAGTGGGTGAGTGGGTGAGTGGGTGAGTGGGTGAGTGGGTGAGTGGGTGAGTGGGTGAGTGGGTGAGTGGGTGAGTGAGCGAGTGAGTGAGCGAGTGAGTGAGCGAGGGAGCGAGGGAGCGAGGGAGCGAGGGAGCGAGGGAGCGAGGGAGCGAGGGAGCGAGTGAGCGAGTGAGCGAGTGAGCGAGTGAGTGAGTGAGTGAGTGAGTGAGTGAGAGAGTGAGAGAGTGAGAGAGTGAGAGAGTGAGAGAGT